TTGGGGATTTAACAATTTTTCTCTTAATAGGTTTTTTTTTTTTTAATGGGCCAAGGAATTGAGGGGTGGAACTGAATGAATGCAGCCTTTCTCATTTATGATAGCAGGTAGTCAGGTACCAGGACTGCTATATGCAGGGTCCAATGCAAAATGAGTGTATGGTAGCCCTTGTCCAAACATTAATAATTTCAAGGCTGTCATAGTAGAGCATTAAACTGAGTGTGGGGTTCTCCGTACGTGACTGCACAGGTTGGATACCCATGAAGCTGGTCTCCTAGGCACTTTGTACAGAAACAAAGATGTAAGCTGAAGAAATGAAACTTTGGCTTCTCAACAAATGGCTTTCTCTACTCCATTCCTGTTTTAGACAAGCTAACGTGTTTTATTAAAAACACACACACACACACACACACACACACACACACACACACACACAAACCTAATTCTTTTTCAGTTGAGGCTGAAGGAAAGAAAATGGTATTTACATATGAACCTTCAAGGATTAGTGACAACAGTTAGAATTGAGTTTATTACTAACACAGGAACAGAAAACCAATACTGAATGTTCTCACTTACAAGCAGGAACGAAGCAACGAGAACACATGGAAACAAAGAAGGGAGCAGCAGACACTGGGGCTACCTCGAGGGTGGAGGGTAGGAGGAGGGAGATGGTGCAAAACTACCTATCAGCTACTGTGCTTACTACCTGGGTGATGGAATAGTCTGTATCCTAACCCCCGTGACATACAATTTACCTGTATAACAAACCTGCGCATGTACCCTTGAACCTAAAATAAAGATATAAAAAAAAGAACTGAGTTTATTTTTCTGTCTTACACTTGTGTACCCCTTGGCACATGTGCATCCTCTTCTCACCTCACCACTGCCACCACGACCTCCAGCACCAGCTTTCGAAGGTGGTGGAACACCAGCAACCAGTTAGAAAAGAAACAGATGAAACAAGGCATTTAAGTAATTGGACGGGGAGAATTACTACAAATAAAAATATTTTGGTGGCGAGTGTTAATTTAGTCATGATGTGCTTTATCACAGAAGTTCCAGCTGTTTTTATGAAATAGATTCTCATTCTCGGGTCATTTATGTAGTGAAAGAAAATAAAATGAAACTCATTGAAGCAGTTACTGTATATATGGGCAGAAAGGTGGAAAGAGCAAAAGACTTTATTTAATAATGTCAAAGTCCAAAGTAAATTTTTAATCTTCTTTGTATAAAACTAATGGCTCAGAAAACAGACTTGAATTTTATGTGTTGTATTATTTATTTGCTTTGCACCAATCTGGTTTTGTGTTTTGGCATGTTGTTGTCATGATCGTTGGTCGTCGTATTGATAGCATAGCAGTATGGTGTTCTTTTTGAAGACTGAAGTTTATTGTGTTTTCTCTTTCATATTTGTATTTGACCAAGACAGATATCTTACTGAAAGGTATATTCTAATTTTTTTCTCATTTGACCTTACAGCTCAATTTATTCTCCTCGCAAGTAAAATATTCTCAGTAGCAATTTAGATCTTTTATAAATCAGGTAACTTGAAAGATTTCTGACAGTCTTTTGTTTGAAATTAATCACTTAAACTGTTTCTGCCCCCTGAATAGGAATCTTAGGACTGTTTGGATGACTGAATTTGTTTCTTTCTAAAGAAACTTATACTAGGGAAAAAGTTAATACTTTTAAAATTTTAAAAAATGTGTTTAAAGTATATAAACAATGTTAGATTTAAAATACTTTGGCAAGAGAAAAGGGTGTGTGAGGTTTTTGTTATTAGCTTCTTGAGAGTTTTTTGGTTACTAACAAGTGCAAATGAAATCCTGTTACAAAAAACGGCTTTGTGTAACAAAGTTATTTATTTGGCAGATTATTCATATAAATAACTTTGTTAAAACTTTGACTGTTAATGATATTGATGAGCTGCATTATACTAAAACTGAATGTGTTAGTGATCTGTATTTAATGTTCTAGCAGCTCCTGGTACAGTCCAGAACAAAGCTGCTTTTCCCTCTAGATATAATAAAATCTCTTAAGTGAGAATATTGCTATAACAGACGTGTTTGTACCTCATCCTTTTTCATTCACTGAAATTTTCTGTGTAAATTACCTTTTTATGTAGAGGATGCTATATAGATGTCTCCTTATTGTGTAGCATTAATATGTTAAATCGGTTTTAAACAGATTTTCTCAAAGGTATGGGCAATATCACGAGTGGAGTTGGATGTTGGCATTACAAAAAACTATTGTAAAATATGTTCATGTTTCAAAAAGATAATATTTCAGGAGATAAGAAATTTAGAATTGATGATGAAGATATAAAACCACTGAGACATTTAGATTTCATGATCACAGATTTTTAATGTTTTAAATTTATGGGTAAGTTTATAGGGATTCTCAGAAGGGCATGAGATTCTGTAACCTTAACTTGGAGCCCTGGGTTCTAGAGATGACCAGTCAGTCCTATGTAGCAGAGTTGTCCTGCTTTCCAAGGTCGTAATACTTCACATACTCATTGCTACAAAAAGGATGGCATTCTCATTTCAAATTTAGATCTGCTCATTCATAAAACAGCCTAAACTTAAGAGTTTCCACAGTCCACAAAGCATCAAAAGCCATAAAATAATTCTTTTTTCCCTATTAAAAAAAAATGCCAAAAATATTTCTGCATTTCAGAATAAACATGCCCAGTCCCGTTTTAAAAATACCACAATATGTAAATTTAACTTTAAATGCTTTGTAACTGATAAAATGTTCTTTTGCGTATTTCCCTACCGTCTTCTGCCTTGCTTCCTTAATTTACTTTACACCCCTAACATTAACATTCTGTGAACAAATTTTTTAAGGATTGTTATAATGTATTCTATTTGTATCCTACCATAATTTATTTGCATTTTAAAAGGAGTTTGAATACAGTGTGGCAATTTTGACAACCAGCAAGCTCATCAAAGTAAGATTCTACCTGTAATCTTATGATACACCAAATGCTTGCTCTGTTCTACCTAACACAGACAAGGATCCATCTTTACAGATGGAAAGAATAGCTGACATCTAGTAGCACTTACTAGCACTTACTCTTTGAGTTCCCTGAACTCTACTTCCAGTATATGAATCACTCATAACCCACTTAAATTCAGATTGCTCACCAAAGTGACTAGGAAAAAGGTTTTTCCTACTGGTTACAAAGTATATGATATTTCACTCTTGTAGCTGTTGTGAATAACCTAGTTTCTGTACATAAGCTGGACTGGTCAGTGATTTATATCTAGGATAAGGAAGTACATGTGACTGCAGCAACATATTTAAACAAATGATGCACAGTGTTGTACAGGAACATTACCTGTATTAAATAGGAGTAAAACATTTTCATTCATAGGCTGTCTAAATATCAATGGTTAAATTACTGGGTTTTGCTTTATTTTTCTTCCGGAAGTATTTGTTGAGTTCCTACTATATGCCAGGCTCTTAACTGAGATAACTAATGAGATCCTTATAAGATTTTTCTATTCCAGAGTTTGGTTGTTTAATTTTGAATTACCCATTCTTTAATACCTAACTTGACTTCTAGTAGTTCTTTACTTATTAGACTCTTCTTCTGAGGATAAACGGAAAAAGACTGTGTCTTAGATTTGACTTTTGAATAGGCAGATGACAGGAAGCTAAAAACCAGTGGCTTCAGTGAGATTTAGGTTTCTTGTGGTTTTGAATTTTCTATATGACATTTCTGTTAGCATTGCCATTTGACTGCTGTAAGGAACTATGTTTATTGGTTTTGTAATAGTAGCATCTGTTCTTTTGGAATCTGGACTTTGAACAATTCGTTTCACAGAGTCATTGAATAGCCAGTTCCTTCTCTCTTACTTAGAATTATTCCAGGGAATGTTTCACATGGCAGGATAATGGAAGAAAAGCCGTTTGGGTAACTCTTCTGTTACATTTGTATCCCTCCCACCTTGAATCCCTGCAGATAAATTCTTACCTTCTCTTCCTGCTAATTGACCAGCAGCACCCTGGATTGCTATCATCCCTTTGTCCAAAGAAATGGTGTAGCTGTATTCAAAGACCTATCAAATGTTGTGTGCTATTTCTACCTATAAAAAAATCTTTTTTCCTTTATTAAATCAGATTGTTTTAGAATAAATAAAGGAAAAGTCAAGTAATGGAAAAATTTCAAGAACAGTTAACATCAAATTTTGGTCTCTTTTTATATAATTTTTTTTGCCTTTTCAAATCACATTTTAAAATAAGCTATTGAAGAAATCTAAAATGAAAAATATGTAAAGAATAGTTAGCATTAAACATAGATCCATTTGTAAACTTATGTGAGATAATATGGATTTATATTTATTTTGTAGTAAATAAAACTTATATGATTGCATAATTGATGATTGTATGCAATACAAGTTAAGTTCAAAAATGAAAGTTGAGCTTTTTTTGTCCTTTCAAATGTAGGGCCAGCATACAATTTTAAGAGCTATTTATAGAAGTCTTGCATCACTGTGAAAATTGATTTTTTCATTGAGTGCTTAGTTACATTGTCCATGTTCCCTTCTAAGTTTTCCAAGTATATGAGACCTACTTAATGGAGCAGTAATGAAATGCAAACTTAATTTAATGATCTCAAATAAAAGGTTCTATTTTTCTGGAAATAAGATTTAACCAGATGTTAAAATTATGTATGATTATGAGAGTAAAGATTACCATTATTTAATAATTGGCCAATTTAGTAGTTTCAAGTTACTTAGTTACATTTTCTCAGTTCTAGTTTGGTGTGGTAAAACATTATTTGAAAAGGCAGTACAGGAAGAATAGATGCAGATAATATTACTGCTATTACAGAATCAGCAAGTTGAGTGCATGCTTCAGGGAATAGGGAAATGAATGCAGACTTTTTCTAACTGATTTACATGGTCTGTCAGACCTTTCTAGAAAAATATGTATGTATGTATATTTTGAAATATATATGGAATGTTAAGTTTTTCTCTCCCCTTTTTTAGCCTTAGATTGTAAGCAAAAGAAATCAAGGTCAAGATCTGGAAGCAAGAAGAAAATGCTAACATTACCTCATGGTGCTGACGAGGTTTACATTCTCCGATGCAGGTATGTGCCTATATTGCCAAATCTGATCAGTTTCTTCATATTTTGCTTGAGACATATTAGCTATTTCATTTGAGATTTTTAATTTGTAGCAGAGTGTGCATTCTCAACAACCAAGTTATAAATGAACTTCTGGAGATAGGTTAAAATCTTAATTCAGCTCACAGTATCCTGTACTTCAACAAGTAGTAAGTCAAGTTTTTTACATTAGCCAGTAGTGATGTAAATCTATTATACTGTGACTTATAAAAGTACCTTTTGGGCCAGGCATGGTGGCTCATAGCTGTAATCCCAGCACTTTGGGTGGCCAAGATGAATGGATCACTTGAGGCCAGGTGTTGTGGCAGATGCCTGAAATTCCAGCTGCTCAGGAGGCAGAGGCAAGAGAATCGATTGAGCCCGGGAGACAGAGGTTGCAGTGAGTCGAGATCGTGCCACTGCATTCCGGCCTGAGTGACAGAGCAATGCTCTGTCTCAAAAAAATAAAAATGAAAAAGTAGCTTTTCTCATATTTCATTTCCTTGGTTTGTATGGTTTAATTTTATTTGGTTTGAATTTTTGCTTTCTTGAGTTCTCACTTATTGGGAACACATTTTCTCTTCTCTCATGCTCATACCTTCTTCCATACTCACAGTCACACACAAGACACATGAACAAACATAAACACAATGCAATTTAAAGAATGATAAATTGGGGAAGGGTCTTTTCTAAAGAACAGCACATTTTAGAGTAATTGCTGTTTCAAGTGAATTAAGATGTGTAGGTGTTAAGACTGTTAATTTTACCCTAATAATAATGTTCCTACCTATACAAACTCTATACTAGAGTTTATTATAGCTGTTAATAAATATATGAATTGGGAGTTTTGATGTTTTATTAAATCATTTGACTTTAGAAACTTTATCACGTGCTGTCTTTAAAATATGAAAGTTTATGTTTATGGATTTTATGTGAATTGGTTTTAAAGAAAGAGAATTGGTCATGTTAAGAGAATTGTTATATTTCTATAGGTTTTGTGGCCTAGTCTTTCGAGGACCCTTGTCTGTTCAGGAAGACTGGATTAAGCACTTACAACGACATATTGTAAACGCTAATCTTCCAAGGACTGGAGCTGGCATGGTGGAAGTCACGTCACTACTTAAAAAGCCTGCCTCCATTACAGAAACTTCATTTTCTCTACTAATGGCTGAAGCAGCTTCATAGAACCAGGAAACCTTTTAAATAGCAAATTTGAATTGGATGTAAATTTGACATTCTTTTTTTTTAAAGCCACATTAAATTATCTGTTTATAAATACTAAAGCAGAAAAATGGGGGAAAGTGAATTACAATGACATCAGAGCAAATCCAATACTTAAAACAGTAAGTAGTCTATATTTTATATAGGGTGGAAGATGTGTTTTTAAGGTTTACGAATTTTTGTTGGTTAACTGTGTTCACTCAAGAAAAGAGCAGTACATGTAAGCAGCCATTAATAAACTGTTGCACATTGATACTTAGAGACAGACTTATTGGAAAATTATGTTTTTTTGCAGTGTTACCAGATCAAGGCTCTGTTTATTCCCCACAAGACTTGCATAGAAAAATAAGATATTATATTTTGTTTGTATGTATTTAGTGTTTTGTATAATACCAAGAACCGATGACTAAATTTACTCAAATTAGGGCATTAAATATCATGTACTTCATAGTTTGAGACTGTTCACTCAAATAGGGCAGAGTACTATTCTATCTAGATGTGTAAGTGTTTTTTTTTAAATCACATGGAACGGTTTTTTTATACTAAAAAGTGGAGGGAGATTTGTTTAAACAAGTATTTCTAAAAGAAATATGTATATAGTTCTGGAAATTATTTGTGGTAAGGAAATATTCTTTACTCCAGTTGCATTTCTCAGACAATAAAGTGGTGCATCCATGCTACCTCCTACTTTGTCAACAAAGATGCTATTTACCCTTTACATTTTTGTATCATAATAGATTTTAAAAAATCTAATGTTCTTTATTGCAAGACATTCTTTTGTTAACAGATTTGTTTCTTTTTAATGTTTTACCTAAAATTTGACATGCTTACAGGACAGGTTTGCCTCTTACTTTATTTAACATTGTAGAAATGTAATTAATAAACACTGCTCACTACACAGTTTAGAATAGATGTTCTCATTTATATTATTTACCAAATTTGATCAGTTAGCAAAACTTAATACACCAATTAAAATATTTCTCCATATGATGAGAATGTTTACAATTAAAATTTTAGAACTTGTTTTGGATGTGATTATATGTACGAAAATCGTGTAACACTATGCTCATGCTAAGAACCGACATAACAGAATTACTGAAATAAATGTGCTGTGAGGAATGGAAAATACGGTGCAGGTGTCTTGGTCATGATAAATTGTGATTCTTTTTAGAATTTTTTTTCCAAAAACAAATTAGTTCTTTTAATCTGAAATCAGATTTCTTTACAAACAACAGTTTTTGTATGCAAGCACCATTTTATTTCATGTAGTATGGCTAATACTATAGTTGAACCAAGGATATGCATTGATTCTTTGCTTCGTATGTAAATAAAGCTAAAAACAGTTAAAATAAGGAGTATTTTGGTAGAGTATATACATACCTCACTGCCAGTGAAATTGCTTTCCTATGGTATATCTCCTTACCAGAAAAATCTCTAAATAAAAAAAAGGTTTAAAGAAAATTAAAATGTGAAACATTTCTTATTTTTATCATTAGTAGAAATAGTTCACTTCAGGTTGTGTTTCATTGGATTTAAATTGTTGATACTTACCAGGTGACTTGTCAATATAATGTATGTGAGAAGGATCATTTTTCCCCCTTTCATGATTAATCAAACCTCTAAATTCAGATCCATCTTATATGCAAAATTAGAAGGTTGGACTAGATGGATCATTCCCAACCAAGGGTCTCCTGATCCTTTAGGTTAATAGATAAGGGAAAAGTACTTATAAGTTATTTTCAATTTTACAAAAGGCGTGATAAAAACTTTGTATTTGTCTATATCTCTTATTGAGCAAGTTTCATTGATAGTTATATGTCTTTGAATATATACTTTTAAATTGGAAGGCATACTGCATAGCAAGTAAAGTCCAGAAGGAAAAAAAAAAAAATTCTAACAGGAGTCTTGGTGGGAAGGCTAGTAATCACTAGAGCCCCTTTTCACTCTAATTACTGTTTTGTTTTTTTTGTTTTTTTTTTTTTTAAGGCAGAGTTTCACTCTGTCACCTAGGCTGGAGTGTAATGGTGTGATCATGGCTCACTGCAAACTTAACCTCTCAGGACTCAAGTGATCCTCCCACTTCAGCCTCCCAAGTAAATTAAAAGAAATTTAAAAGCACACGTCATCCAAGGAATTTAATTTAATTTAATTTAATTCCTCCCAAGGAATTAAAAGCACACGTCATCACTCTCGGCTTGTTTTTGCCATGTTGCCCAGGCTGCACTCTAACTCTTGGGCTCAAGAGATCCTCTCATCTTAGCCTCCCAAAGTGCTGAGATTACAGGCATGAGCCACCACACCTGGCCCCTTAATTTTTACACGTCTTATGATTTTGTCTTGTCAGGCCAAATATCACCATGTGTGAATACAAGTAGAATTAATTTGACTACAGTTTTGGAATCAAAACTATATTTAATTTTTAAATATGTTAAATTATATTTAAACAACTACTCCTTCTAGATATATAAAGAATTTACTCATCAGAATAGAATATTTCACATCAGAAGCAGTAGACTAGAGTGACTCCTGAAATGTAAATGAAGCAAAGAGCATTTTTGGTAGTAAAGATATTTAGATTACAAATTTTAAAGAATTTTTTAGGAACCGTTCAAAATTCATCTTTTATTTGGCAACTAGAAAGTTAATATATTTTCATTTGGTTCCCACTAGAAGAAAAGTATAAAATATTGTCTCAAATTACATGATAAGATTTTCATGTCAGCATATGGCCTGATGAATATTCAGTATTGACTAATTTTCTTTTAATTCTTTTACCATTGACTGAGATATGAGAGCTTCTAATGCTAAATTAGGGCTTAAAAAAAAAAAATCCGGGCCAGGCGCGGTGGCTCAAGCCTGTAATCCCAGCACTTTGGGAGGCCGAGGCGGGTGGATCACGAGGTCAAGAGATCGAGACCATCCTGGTCAACATGGTGAAACCCCGTCTCTACTAAAAATACAAAACATTAGCTGGGCATGGTGGTGCATACCTGTAATCCCAGCTACTCGGGAGGCTGAGGCAGGAGAATTGCCTGAACCCAGGAGGAGGAGGAGGTTGCCATGAGCTGAGATTGCACCATTGCACTCCAGCCTGGGTAATGAGCAAAACTCCGTCTCCAAAAAAAAAAATCCAGTCAGAAGTGTTGATGTATTTAATGGCTTTAAGACAAAAAAAGTTAACTTCTATATATTATTTTCTACTATACTTCTTTAGAATATATTAGAACTGTGGCATTACTTATATCTGTATTTTAGATTTCACTTGTATTTAATTATATGTTGGGGAGATAATAGCTTTTCAGTAGTAATTTACTAGACTTTTTTAAAGAACGTACACAACTTCTCAAGGACTGTCCAATTAGAACACAGAGGGGTTTTTCCTCACTAGGGCAATAGGGTAGGCACATTAGCTCATGCCTGTAATCCCAGTACTTTGGGAGGCTGATATAGAAGGTTCACTTGAGCCCAGGAGTTTGAGACCAGCTTGGGCAACATAGCAAGACCCCATCTCTATGAAAGAAAAAACAATTTTAAGGCATGGTGGTGTGCACCAGTAGTCCCAGCTACTCAGGAGGCTGAGGTGGGAGGATTGCTTGAGCCCAGGAGTTCAAGTTGAACACAGTGAGCTGTAACAATGCCCCTGCTCTCCACAATGGGCAACAGAGAGAGACCCTGTCTCTTAAAAAAAAAAAAATGTAATCTATGCCCATTTAAAAAATATTAGAAAACAAAAAATAAAATGTGGGGAAATCACCTGTGATAGCATCATTCAAAGATACCTACTTTTAAACAGCTTGATTTCTTTCTTAACTGTCTCACTGTTTCAATATAATTATAATCAGAACATATTATAACGTATCTTGTTTTATCATTAATTTTAAATTTGGGTGCTGCGTTGTAGTCTAACCTTTAAATACCACATAATTTATGTTAATCCTAGAATATGACAAAAGCCAATCCCTGTCTGTGATATTTCAAATGACAGACTAGAATCATTTTTCATCCCCACTGCAGAAGATAGCTATCATATTCAACAATGGGAACTTCTTTTCTGATTTTGAGGGCCAGCCATATTCGATTATAGATCCTTCATCAGTAGCCCATACCCGTACTCCAGCCTTGGCTTTTCTTATGACAAATTGTTGAATAATACCTTTAATAGTTTAAACAACAATTGTAATAATAAATTTTACAGAATTGATATCTCATACTGAATGATTCTTAGATTAGGCCAAAAGTCAAGATGAATAAAGAGTTCATATAATCTAATAAATTATTGATTTATTTCCTGTTAAAATTTTAGATAAAAAGAAAAAAATACATAGAATTCTCCACATTAAAAATTTATCATACGCCCCTCTGGTCTTGTTTTTCTGTTTGTAGATTTTTTTCTTTAAAAAAAAAAAAAAAAAAAAAAACTTGCTGTGCAGAAATTGTCCCTTTATTCTTTTAGCAGTAGATCCATCAGCATTTTCATGCCACTAACTATTCATCTTAAATATACTTAAATTTTTTACAGTTTTTTTTTTATCATCCTGTATATTTACTCCTCCATTGTTGCTCATTTTATATTGGCTCCAGGATTGGACATCATAAAGAATGCTTTTGTTGGCCAGTGCTGGCTCATGCCTGTAATCCCAGCACTTTGGGAGGCTGAGGTGGGTAGGTCACCTGAGGTTAGGAGTTCATGACCAGCCTGACCAACATGATGAAACCCCATCTCTACTAAAAATACAAAAATTAACGGCATGGTGGTGGCCACCTGTGACCCCAGCTACTCAGGAGGCTGAGTCAGCAGAATTTCTTGAACCTTGAAGGTGGAGGTTGCAGTGAGCTGAGATCATGCCGTTGCACTCCAGCCTGGGCAACAGAGTGAGACTCAGTCTAAAAAAAAAAAAAAAAAAAAAAACAATGCTTTTGATGCTCATTCTTGCAGTAAATTGTGCACATATAAAATTATTTTCTTAGTAGAGTTAGTAGATGAAGAGTTGAATATTCCTCATACAGTTGAGGCTTTATGTATACATTTCCAAATTATTATTCAGAAAAGTTATATAACTGTATTCTGCTAATTTCAATGTATGAGACTGGTATATAGTTCATCTCATCCTTGCCAGTATATTCTTCTAAACAAAACAAAACTTTGCTTATTTAGTATGTAAAGAGTGGTATTGTGGTCATTCTTAAGTGATAAATGAAAACAAAATATGTGAACTTTTCTTCTTAAATTACCTTTCTGATTTTAAATGAATTTATATAATAATATACATAAAATTATATTTTGCTGGATGATATGTCTAAAATAAGCTCTGATTTCATAATTTGCCACCAGTATAATGGAGAGTTTTAAGTGTCCTTAACCTGTAGTTGTTTTCAAGAGATCTTTGACTATTGTATTGTGTAGTGTGTCTATATGCATTTTTCTGGGAGCTCCATAGCATTTAATTGCTCTGTGACCCCCCACCTACCCCTAAAAAAGTAAACAGTAACTACTTTGAAAGTAGCATGTGTCGTCATACCAACTGCCAAGTGGTTTGTGTTTTTGAATATAATCCTAGACAAATTTTAATTAAAATTAACCCTCAAAATCTTCTGGCATATAAATTGGGGTTGTGTGGGAATTTAAAAAAAACAAACAAACAAACAAAAAAAACCTCTTCTGGCATAGGTTTCTTTGCTTTTATATTATGTGAAAAAGAGATAGCATTAAATGTGAATTGTTTTGTGTCTTCTGAACAAGTTGGTAGAAAAATTTACTTAGAAGTTTGCTCTAAAAAGATGATTCTTAAGGCTATAAACCCAAAGAGTTCTTTCTTAAGTTTTTAAGGTCAAACTCGGGATTTTTTTTTTTTTTTTTTTTGATGAGTTTAGCAAATTTCAGCAAATACTTAGAAGTAAGGAGTTTTTTGATAATGTGTAGTCACATTTACAACGTTAGTAGAATTTTAAAAACATTTAAAACTGCGTATCTAAATTCAGTATATTCAGTTTCTATTGGAAGCACCTCTGTTCCCTGATTTAAAACTTTTTCAAGTACATAAATATCTTTTACAAACATAACAAATTAGTCTTAATATGTAGAACCTTGGATTATCTTGGTTATTTCAATGCCTCAGGTAACAGTAAGGTTTTTACTTTAAAATCATTAGTACAAGTCCAAGTTTATTACTCATTTGTACATTTTTAGATTGGATTTAGAAGGCTGAACTGTTAGACTAATAGACTAGATAATTCTTAAATATTATAAATACTCAAAAATTTTAAAGTATGAACAAATTACCCCTTACCAAATTGGCTTTATTGTGAGAAAAATACATAAATGTGTTACTCTAATATTTAAAGAAATAACCTTAATTACTCTAAAAATGAGATGTAGAACATTGCCAGCACCCCCAATTAAAGTCTCTTCCTTCCATTACCATTATTCTGATCCTAATAATCATTTGTTTACCATTC